GATAGATAGATAGATAGATAGATAGATAGATAGATAGATAGATAGATGATACATAGATGGAAAACATTATATCCATGAGGGAGAAATGGGGTATAGATCTAAACAGAAGTCTCAGTAGAGGAATCTCAAATGGCTGAGAAACAAAGAAATACTCATCATCATTAACTAATCAGGGAAATGTTAATAAAAACTACTTTGAGATTCTATTTTACTCCTATTAGAAAAGCTAAGTTCAAAAGCCAGAAATGAGCGGTCATACTGGCGAGGAAATGGAACAAGGGAAACAGTCCTTCATTGCTGGTGGGAGGGTAAACTTTTATAGCCACTATGGAAATCAGTGTTACACTTCCTCAGATGGGAATCAATTTACATCAAGATCCAGCTATCACACTCTTGGGCAAAGACCCAAAAGATGCTTATCCTACCACAGACACACTCACTCAACTATGTTCATTGCTATGAACTCTGTTCATAATAACCAGAAATTGGAAACAATCTAGATGTTACACAATAGAAGAATGGATAAAGAAAATGTGGTACATTTACACAGCAGAGTATCACTCAGCTGTTTAAAAAACGACATCGTGAAATTTGGAAGCAAATGTGTGAAACTAGAAAAGGATAATCCCAAGTGAGGTTCCCAGGCCCAAAAAGACAAATTGGTATGTGTTCACTTACATGTGGATATTAGCTGTTGAGTCAGTGATAATCAATCTTCAATCTATATAACCACAGAGGTTAGGCATAAAGTAAGGGACTAAGGGGGTGACATATAGATCTCTTTAGAAAAGGGAAACACAATAGTTATGAATGGATTAGGAGCTTGAACAAGAAAATTAAGTTGGAAGAGAGCGCAAAGATGAGGATGAAGGAGAGAATATGGGGAAAGGCAGCTAAAACTAAGGACCCTCTGAGAAGTAATATGAAAAGTAAATACAATAGAAGTTTCCTGTTTCCCAAAACAGTAGGATCTGGAGAGGACAGGAACTCCACAAGGAGAGCAACAGAACCAAAAAATCTGAGCACAGGGGTCTTTCCTGAGACTGCTATTACAACCAAGGACTATGCATGGAGATAACCTAAGACCCCTGCTCAGATGTAGCCCATGGCAGTTCAGTATCCAAGTGGGTTCCATTGTGATAGGAACAGGGACTGTCTCTGACATGAACTGATTGGCCTGCTCTTTAATAACCTCCCCCTGAGGGAGAAGCAGCATTACCAGGCCACAGAAGAGGACAAGGCAGCCACTCCTGATGAGACCTAATTGACTAGAATCAGAAGGAAGGAAAAGAAGTCCTCCCCTATCAGTGGACTTGGGGAGGGGCATGCATGCAGAGGGTGGAGGAAGGGAGGGATTGGGACGGGAGGAGAGACAGAACCACGGGGGGGGGGATACAAAGTGAGTAAAGTGTAATTAATAAAGAAAAATAAAATAAAATAAATAAATAAGAAGTTCCCTAAAATATATACATGCATGAGGATGATCTAAACAATATTGCAGAATCATGAGGGGAGACAGAGCTCCAACTGGCCACTTCTCATCATCAAAGGAAGCTTCCAGTACTGGGACTTGAGTACATCTAATTGCTGGTTGGCATAAAGGGGCCACACAGGAATCCCAAAACCACCCAGACTGTTGTCAAGACTATAGGCTGCTATCCACAAACTGACGGCAAGGTTTTATTGCTGAGGACCACAACACTGAATGTGGTGAGGTCAACCTGGTAGCCTTCACCCCTACATTCTAGCATCTTTGGCAAAGCAAGGTACTGTTGGCACAATATTGCTGTGGACTGTGTATGATTTTTACCCTTATTCATTCAAATGTTTGTTTTTCTATCCCACTATCTGGTTTCAGTCTGGACATGGCACCATGATGTTTGGTCTAAGTATCTTTTGTCTCAAGCTTGTGTTAACATGCCCACCATTTGTTCTCTGTTGTGCCAATAAAACACCAACCAGATGATGCTGAGCACTACAGAGAACAGGATGGGATATCCTGGACCAATGAAGGGTGGAGAGGGAAAAAGGGAGTGGAGAGGGGCCATGAGAGGAGGACCAGGAAGCATCAGGAGGAATGAACTGGAGCAAGGAATTTTTTTAAAGCTAGTATGACTGGGAAATTTGGGCTGGGAGGAAGATATACTATCTTGGAGGTTTAGGACGGAGTAATGATGCTCTAGGCTAATTAAATAAATCATAGTCTTCATGTGTCTTTACTTGGGTAAATAGCCGATTAAAGACTAACTACCATTTCTAAGGACATGAATCAACGTTAATTGTTAATAATCATTCTACAAGATACTCTGCATGCTACTAAAAGAGAACTGTAAGCACCACCCCCCAACCCAGCCACAAATTTTTTGATCTACAATGCTTTCCTGCCTGCAAGACATGCTAGGGCAATGATGACACATAGTTTGTGGAAGTAACCAATGTCTGATTTGACGTAAGGCCCACTCTATGAGTTGGAACCCATACCCAGTACTGCTTGAGTGACCAAGGACCTAAGACTAGATAGCCCAGAGACCTAAGGTAAACCCAAATATTACTTTTCTTATTTAAAAAAAGTAGCAATAAGATGACTCCAGTGACATTCTGCTATGCTCATAGATCAGCGCCTTGCTCAGCCATCAGTAGAAAAGCTTCCTTCTGCAGCAGATGGGAACAAATACAGAGACAGACAAGATAGAAGTTATGCAGAGAGTGAGAGACCTTGGAACACTCAGCCCTAAACAGGAGGTCTCCATTAAATCCTTTTCCTCAGAGCTTAAGAAACTCCAAGGAACAAGGGGCAGAAAGTGGAAGGGTTAGAGGTGATGGAGAATACCAAGAAAACAGGGCCTTGTGAATCAACTTAGCAAAGCTCATATGAACTCACAGAGACTGGAGTGGTATACACAGCGCCTGTATGGTTCTCACCAGCTCCTTTAGTGTGTCTCATACCTTCCAGGTTTGGTTTTTCTGGGATTCCTGAGTGTGTGAATGAGTGGGTCTCTGTTTCTTGTGCCTCCTCTTGGTCTTTTTTTTTCCTAATGTTTGTTTGTCTTGTTCAATTTGGATGTGTTAGTTTTTATTTTATTTTATTTTATTTTATTTTATTTTATTTTATTTTATTTATTTTATTATTATCCCTCAGAAGCCTGTTTGTTTATTAATGAAAGACATGAAAGGGAGTGGATCTGGGTGGGAGGGGAGTAAAGATTAACTGGGAGCAGCAGAGGAAGGGAAACTGCAAACAGCATATGTTACATGAGGGGAAATTATTTCAACAAAAGGAAAAGACAGGAATAAGGGTCAATCGACTTCTTTTCCTGTATGTATTCTTTTTACTTCTTTCTCTTGTCTTACTTGTTATTGTTATTAGTGAGGACTCTGGGTTTCTCTTCATTTAGTGTGGGATTGGCTATAGATGTGTCGTAGGTAGCTTTTATTATGTTGAGGCATTCTCCTTTTATCCTACCCTTTCCATGACTTCCGTTGGGAAGGGAAGTTGGGTTTTGGTGAAGAATTTTTCTGACTAATGAGAGGATCATGTAATTTGCTCCTTTGAGTCTATTTATTTGATGGATGACATTGATTGATTTACATACCTTGTTCCATCCGTGTGTTTCAGGAATGAAACCAACTTGTTTAGAATGGATGAACTTCTCACATTTGTATTTGAGATACTTTTTGAGAATTTCACACATGAATATTATATTTACATTATTTCCTCCTCTCTCTTCCCCTCTCCAACTAGTCTTGTTCCCCCAACTACCTCTCAAATTCATGACCTTTCTCTTACTTATTATTGTTAAGTATATGTATTTATACACGTAAACATTTCCTACTGAGTCCATTTAGCGTTGCTTATATGAACATATATTTAGGGATGAGTACTTGGGATTGGATAACTTATAAAAGAACTCATATGTGAAAATTTATTGTCCCCCTCCACCTCTCCTGGAGCCTCGTGAAACTTCCTCTTCATTCACATTGACATTTCAGATGGTGTTGTGATTACGTCAGACTTGTTTACAGCAGCTATTGTTAAGGTTTCAGGCTGCAGCTCCTCTGTCAGGTCTAGAGGATACCATCTCCTGGTCCTCTAGCCCTTACGAACTTTTCACACCTTCTTCTGTCATTCTCCCTGAAGCTTAGGTGTAGGGGTTGTGCTGTAGCTGTATTAGCTGGGGCTGAGCACCCATAGTCACATATTCTCTGCAGGTTTATGTTCTGGATCTTTGTTATCAGTGACCTTCACTGTGCTCTGTGCTAATGGAGAAAAATGGAACAAGTCATTCGCTACCAGCATGTGATGTGCTATTACCATGAGAGGACACGTTGCTGAAATATGAAATTACTAAAACATTCAGAAAGTGTTACCTAGTCCATAATTTATGCAAAGTTCACTCTTCTGAATAACAGATTTATGATTCACATAAGTTTCTCTCTGTAAGAGAGTATTTGACAAACCATCACTAAACCAATGAAAGTTCTTTATACCACACTGATTTGATACCAGTTAACTTACTTTTCTCTGGGTTACACAGTTCACAAAAAAAAAAAAAAAAAAAAAAAAAAAGGAATATTTTAAAGAATATTCTCATTTCCAAAGAGATGAGATTCTTAGTCAAAAGAGTCTGGAGCCATTCATTCATTCATTCATTCATTCATTCATTCATTCATTCATTTATTCACTTCTTTCCTAATCCAACCAAGAGCATGCTGATAGCAAAAAGTGTTCCATGGGAATGATTCACAGGCATTACTAAGAGAATTCGTCACCCATCTACAGTGTCTGCAGACCAACCCTTGCTTCTCAGGAGGTGCATTGGCATTCCTTGTTTGCCTGAAATCCAGGCTGGGCGCTTCCTGAGAAGCAGTTTCCTAAAAAGCCTCCCAAGAGCTCCCTTAACTTCCTGGTTCCTGAGGCTGTAGATCAGCGGACTCAACATCGGAGAAATGAGCGTGTAGAAGATGGCGACCTGGCGATCCTGGTCTAGATTGTAGCTGGACGATGGCTTGAGGTACATGTGAACCAAAGAGCCGAAGAGAAACATCACCACCAGAACGTGAGAGCTGCAGGTGGACAGCGCTTTCTGCAGGGCAGCAACTGAGTGCATGTGGGCTATGGCCACGCCTATGCGGACATAGGAGCCAAAAATGAAGAAAAAGGGGCTGACCACCACAGCTACACCCTCAGTGAAGATTAACATCTCATTGACCACAGGTCGAGTACAGGAGAGCTTCAGCAGAGGAGTGATGTCACAGAAGAAGTGGGTGAGCTGGTTGCCACAGAAGCTTAAACGAGTGACCAACACGCTGTACAGGAGACTGTTCAGGCTGACCACCGCCCACGAGGTCAGTGTTATTCGCAGACAGAGGTTGCGGCTGACAATGGCAGAGTATCTTAAAGGGTCACAGATGGCAACATAGCGGTCATAGGCCATGGCAGCCAGCAAGTGGACCTCCATACTGCCCACCGCCATAAAGGAAAAGAGCTGAACCATGCAGCGGTTATAGGAAATGGTTCTGTTTACCGAGAGCGTGTGCACCAGCATCTGAGGAACAATGATGGTTGTCAGAGATATGTCAATCAAGGAGAGCTGGCTGAGGAGGAAATACATGGGGGTCTGAAGCCTGGGGTCTGAGCAAGCAACAAGTACTAGCAGGGTATTGCCCCAAACCGCCGCCAGGTACATGGTGAGCACAACTCCAAAAATAACAGGCTGCATCTCTGGCCGGCTGGACAAGCCCAACAGCACAAATTCAGTCACTTCTGTCCTGTTTCTAGTGGCCATAAGGCATGGTCTACATCAGCTTCAAAGAGGGAAGATCAGAGCTGGAAAAGGAGAATGACGTCAAATCTCAACCATATCCAAGTATTTGCATCCCGGATGGCATAACTGAATGCCTGCTAAAACCTGCACTTGATTAAAAATTAATTAAAATTCTTTACAAACATTTAAAAACACAAACTTTTAGACTTTCAGAACCGCTCTCATACAGTGTCCCTACCTCAGATAAGCAACCCTCTGGAGCGAAGATCTTGTTCTAACTTTGAGCATCAGTTTTGTTCTTCTGGCAACTGTGTTCCATTAGATCAACTAAACTTACTTAGGACGTGAGAAGATATGACCGAGATAACCGCTGACTTCATTGGTGGCTATTCTCCCAGCCCCCCACCCCAGCACTCTGTTCTCATACCCTTTCAAGTCAAAAATTTCAATACAAATATGCCAAGCGTTCTACCAACCAACCTTTCCATGCTACTGTGTAAATAAAGACATTTGATGACGTAGCAGGCTCGTAACAGAGTATGAGAAAAATCACTTTAGAGTAAATGTGACTGTGGGAGAACAGGTAATAAAGGGTCCTCAACCTAAGCTTGCTGACCTCCACGTTTAGTCTCAGCTCTCAAAGGTCCGTTCGTCTAGACCCTCTGAACAATATGCTGCCAGCTTTTACACACACGTTTGATGCTTGAGTGTGATCAACTTAAGATCTCTTTTAGTCTTCTAAAAAAAAGTTGAAATTTTATCTTTTTTAGAGTATCTCACTCCTCCGCTTTCCTCAGTTTTTAATAATCATTTTAACACTTTGATTTTTTTTCTTTCATCTATTTTATTTGATGCATTCACAAAACTTGAAATAATGTAACAATGGTAGCAGATGTTCTCATCTTTGAATGTCAAGAGTACTTTCATGTTACAAAAATTCATGTCTAATGGTAAAACTGTTACTTTTAAATAGTTCTTATCTAAAATCAGTTTTAATATGTTTTTTTCCCAGTCAGTCTTCCATTCCTTTTCTAAGTTTCCACCTGGTATTGTTTTAGAATGTTCATCCTATGCATCTCTGAATTCTATAATATTGCCTCAGGCAGCATTTTTAGTAATTCCATAGTGAATGAATATGAGAATGTTTTAACTTAAATGTGTATACCCTCTTCTAGTCTAAAATAATTTCTCATAATTTTTTAAAAATTTTCTCTCTAGTATGTGTTCTAAAATTCTTGATAATTGGTTCTTAAGCCTCTTCCTCGGTATTTCCAGGTATGTCTTGGATTATATTCCTAAAACTGACATTTATTTTGTTTTTGAAATCCTGTTTGTTTTCTCATGAGTTCATTGTTCTATTTCTTCCTTTATTGTTCCATACTATTTTAGTATGCAAACAATTCTGAAAGTGCAGATTTTTTAATTTTTAAAATTTTATTTTAAAAACTTTTCATTAGTGAACACAGTTTTGGTTTCGTTGTGGCCTCAGCTACACACCCAAAAGACTGTATCCTACCACAGAGCTACCTGTACATCCAAGCTTACTGCTGTTCTACTCACAGTAGCACACAGATGGAAACAGTTTGGCTATCCACAAAAATAAATGGGTGGTTAAAATGTTATATACATTCACAGTTAAATTTTATTTAGCTATAAAGAAAAGTGAAATTGAGAATATATGTCTTTTTATTAACCTATATATCTTGAATGATTGGGTTTCTTCTTGCCGTAGTTATGTGGTCTTTTTAAATATTGGTATTTTCTTTTATGCTGCTGGCTTTGTCATTTTTGTGCCTTCATTTGCTTGTTCTAGATAGCTATTGTCAATTTATCATGGTAAAAAGTTGCTACTCTGTCCCAGGAATGAGAAAGTTTGCTGCCAGAATACAGAACTCTTGCTTTTATTCTACTTATCTTAATTAAAATTGAGGGCTTTCTCTGAGAAATAATGCCCAACTTAATAGCTATAACCTTCTTTTCTTAGAGAAAATGTTTCCAGTTTCTATTGGTATAAAATAATAAGCTATTGTGGTCTGAGCTCTAAGGTAGAGAGAAGAGAAGAGTTTCTGTACAATGCCCAGTGGATTTATATGGTAGGGACATTCACTTTAGTTAGTATGCATATTTACAGATTTTTCCCCATTCTCCCTCTTTACTCACCGTCCTCCTGTCCTGGCTACTTCCAACATAGTCTTTCCCCAGAAGGTAACTTTCTCTTCCACAGCAATCCTTTGCTGGCATAGTTAGGGTGCGTTTATCTCATTGATACTTTAGCTCTTAAAAATCGACGAAGTGTCACATTTGATGATGATTTTTCATTCTTTTTACTGAGCATTGTATTTTTTCCCTTTGTTTCGTTGAGCTCTCTAAAAGCACAGATAAACACAGCCTCAAGTCTACCTCAGCTATGGCTGATCCCTTGAGGGGACTCTCTGCACCACAGAAAACCAGTCCCCAAAAAAGGCAGGGACCATCGTTTTGTATAACTTAAAAATCAATTTCCTCTTACACTCTCAGGTATCTGGGAATGCTTATAGTTTTATCTCATCACAAAGATGTTCACATCACTGGGCGGCAGCTTCTTAGGATCTCACTTTTTTTTTTTTTTTCAAAGTTCATCCCCATTTGCTTGCTTGGACCTTGGTTTTCCTATCTCTTCTTATTCATACATTGTCATACCATCTTTCGTTAATGGAAGTTATCTATAAGTAGAAACTGGAACGTTCAAGAAAACTGACATTTTCCAGTGTCTACTCTTTTGTCTTCATTTCTTCCTTTATCTTTCCATGTCAATGAATGTAGCTCAAACTATGTGTTATCTTGATACAAAGACTCTTTCAAAATAGAGCCGCACACATGTCAACAGGGAGGTGTAGATGGAAACAAGAGAGAGTGCAAGAAGGAAAAGATATGAGCGCACCTCCTACACGAAGACAGGGGGAATGACCACAATCCCCCAAGGAAAAAAAGCTGCAAAAACCGTTGTTTGCTCCTTAGTAAGATAGAATGTAATAACAAAGCATCCGTTTTATTTTAAACAGAGCAAAACCAGTTTTAAAAATACACTGATGTTTCAGTGCTCACTCATAGCAGCAACAGCAAATAAGAGCAGGAGTGTTGTTCTTGTGGGCCGATTTCACGGATTCATCTCTGTACTGTTTCTATTTTCAGCCTCATCATTGTTCCCATTAGATCCTGAGCTCAGTGGGTTCCATTCAGGAAACCTGGAGGGAAACAGGATCAGGAAGAGAGAGGGAGGGAGGGAAAGAAAGAGAGAGAGAGAAAGAGAGACAGAGGGAGAGAGAGGGGGAGAGAAAGAGAGAGACCTATAGACAGCAGTGAAATTTCTCAAGTCAATAAACGAAACAAATTGAAAAACAGACACTTAAGAATCTCTGATCTCTCAATATATAACTAGCACTCTGAAAATCACTAGAGTCACAAAGAAGGGAGGATGAGAGGCTCTCCGTCTAACTCAGTTGTCTTCCTTCCCCTATTCATGAAAGCATCATCAACAGACATACTGTTTGTCCACTGTTTTTTGTTTGTTTGGTTGGTTGGTTTTTGTTTGGTTTGGTTTGGTTTGGTATCTGAACATTATGAAAGGGATCTCTTTGGGGCCTTGTTGGTCTGAATTCTATTTTCAGTCTACTCACCTTCTTTTGGAGATGAATCACAACAGCTGATTCTGAGATGTATAACTAAGATCTTTTGTTATTGTCTCCAAAACAGATCTTCTAAATGCTCACAAAATGAATTACAACTTCTGTCACATACTTCTGGGATCCAAGAACAATGAAATGTTTCTCCATATCTACCCCACTTGATTCCATCACTACTTGCTCCATCTCAACAGTCATTCTTCTCTCAAAAACACAAGGCTGCTAATTCCTTCATCTTGTCTCTTGACTCTAATATTGCACCTCATTCTACTCTCTTTGGTCTTCTTGGTACAAATGTCATGCTATTTTCTATAAAATTAATATAGTGTGTGATTGTCTGTATCCTTTCCATTTACTTTAAGAAATAGCATATGACGTTAGCCTCATTTTCCTCTAAACCTAATATCATACAACAAGATAAATGTCTAGACAGATCTGCACTCCTCTTTACCGTAAAACCCCATTTTTATCACTCTCTGTAACAGCTTTTCCGAAGGTCAGGTCACTGCAGTGAAGCGAGCTCATGTCACATGAGCTCACTCTGGGACTCTACTGACCCCAGGAGGCTCCAACTGCGGTCAGATGAAGTATTAATGTGGTTAACTTTATAATCATCACTCTAAGCATGTGCTCCTAGATTTTAGAAGATTCCTTCTCCCTCCAGCCCACTCCATACCCTGCCCACAGCTCTAAGTTGATTTGATTTCTGCTGTAATTAACTGTTCTGATTTACATAAATAGCTACTAAAGTCACCAGAAAAGTGATAACCAGGCATTTCACTTCTTGCTGAAACACAGATATACCCTGGAGCTATCTTATTAGAAAGAACAAGTGTCAATCTTGCAGAATTTCACCTAACAAAAAATACACAGTACAAATTAACAGACTGTGTTGGAATGTGGAGATAAAAGATAAATCAAGAATAAGAAATTGTCAGATGAGGGATGGGGATACAGCCGGGACACAAAGTGAATAAATTATAATAAATAATAAAACTATTCCTGTCTGTGGTTGGTATTCATAACTCAAAAGAGAATAAGAAATTGTCAAAAATAAAACAAAACAAAACCATGTTCTTTCCACAAATAAATCCCAATAGATTGGGGGTTGGAGGAAGGATAAAGAGGAAAGAAAGGACCAAATATTATAAGGAACCAATCTTAGTACATGAAACTTACAGAAATCCTGATTTTTAACTATTAAAACTTTCAAGTACTGAAAAAAAATCAAAATCTACTTTAAAAAATATAGCATGCACCAAACAAACACAAGAGTTTCTTAGATTGTTTTGAGTTCTCTTTAAACTACCAACCACAGACAGGAATAGCAGCACACACCTTTAATGCCAGCATTTGGAA